CGAACTAATGAATGTCGAAGGGTGCTTTAACTTGCAAACGATGTAAACCGATGCTACCACTCGTTGACAACATTTTCGATCACAGGGTGCCGGCGGAACATTTTTTTTTGGGGGGGGGCGATTTGATCGAAAAAATGAATATTTTCCAAACGCGACTTTTTTATTTCTGAATGAAGGGGCATGGTCCATTTAGTGTGTTAGTGCAGCGGCAAGTGTTTCTGTGCATGCAAAAAGCTTGTGCACCAATTGCAAAATCAACATCGAGCGCCGTTTGAGAGAGTCTTTTGGAAAAAAAACCTCAAAACTATACGTGCGTTAATGTCTTTAGTTACACCATCGTGTTCGCCGCGCGATTGCGCGTCAAATGACTTATAGTAAAAAAAAAGTGCGTTGTGGAAACATATGGCATTCTTGATGGCCGTTAACTTCCATGGTTTTGTTTTTGAGAGCCGCTCCGTTTGAAAGCAGATCGCCGGTGCAGACGATACACAATGGTCCAACAAGCATGCAGTGGCTCTGATGTCAACATGCAAGTGATCACAAATCTGGCCGCGGACACTTTGATGTGAAAAACGGCACATTTCAGAAACGTACGTTTTGGACCCGTATGAGGGCCAATATGAAATCCAGCAGGCCTACCAATTGGATGCATGTTCAGAATGAAAACAGCCGTTATTCGGGTAGTGAAATGCTTCAAACTCATATCTAAAGAACCAATGAAAATCGAAGGATGTTTCAACTGGCAAACGATGTAAACCGATGCTACCACTTGTTGACAACATTTTCGATCACAGGGTGCCGACGGAACATTTTTTTGGGGGTCGATTTGATCGAAAAAATGAATATTTTCCAAACGCCACTTTTTTATTTCTGAATGAAGGGGCATGGTCCATTTAGTGTGTAAGTGCAGCGGCAAGTGTTTCTGTGCATGCAACAACTTGTGCAGCATTTATAAAATCATCATCGAGCGTGGTTTGAGAGGGTTTTTTTGCAAATAATTTCAAAACTATCCGTGCGGTTAATGTTTTAAGTGTATACCATCGTGTTCGCCGCGCTCTTGCGCGTCGAATGACATCATATAGTAAAACATGAGTGGTCTTTGTGGAAACATATAGCAATTAGTGATGGCCGCAACTTTCCATGGTTTTGTTTCTGAGAGCCGCTCCGTTCGAAAGCAGATTGTCGGTGCAGACGATACACAGTGGTGTAACAAGCATTCAGTGGCGCTGATGCCAGCATACAAGTGATCACAAATCTGGCTGCGGCCACTTTGATAAGAAAAACGGCCCATTTCAGAAACGGACATTTTTTCCACCCGTAGGAGGGCCAATATGAAATCCGGCAGGCATACAACTTGGATGCATGTTCCGATTGAAAACAGCCGTTTTCGGGTAGTGAAATGCCTCAAACTCATATTTAACGAACCAAGGAAAATCGAAGAGTGCTTTAACTTGCAAACGATGGAAACCGATGCTACCACATGTTGACGACATTTTTGATCACCAGGTGCCGACGGAAATTTTTTTTGGGGGGCCATTTTGTGGAAAAAAATTGAAAACTCCCCAAGTACGATTTTTCATGTCTGAATGAAAGGGCATGGTCTATTTAGTGTGTAAGTGCAGCGGTAAGTGTTTCTGTGCACGCAAACAGCTTGTGCAGCAATGGCAAAATCAACATCGAGCGCCGTTTGAGAGCGTTTTTGGAAATAACATCAAAGCTATACGTGCGTTAATGTTTTAAGTTATACCATCGTGTTCGCAGCGTTATTGCGCGTCGAATGGCATAGAGATAAACTTTAGTGCGTTGCTGGAAACATATAGCATTCTTGATGGCTGCAAATTTCCATGGTTTTGTTTCTGAGAGCCGCTCCGTTTGAAAGCAGATTGCCGGTGCAGACGATACACAGTGGTGGAACAAGCATTCAGTGGCGCTGTTGTCAACATCGAAGTGATCACAAATCTGGCCGCGGCCACATTGATGGAAAAAACGGCCCATGTCAGAAGCGGACATTTTTTCGACCCGTATGAGGGCCAATATGAAATCCAACACGCGTAAAAATAGGGTGCATGTTCAACTTGAAAACAGCCGTTTTTCGGGGGAGAAGAATGTTACAAACTCATATCTAACAAACCAATGCAAATCGAAGGGTGCTTTAACTTGCAAACGATGTAAACCGATGTTGCCACTTGTTGACAACATTTTTGATCACCGGGTGCCGACTGAAAATTTTGGGAGGCCATTTTGTCGAAAAAAGGACAATTTTCCAAATGCAATTTTTCAAGCTCTGAATGAAAGGGCATGGTCCATTTAGTGTGTAAGTGCAGCGGCAAAGTGTTTCTGTGCAT